AAAAAAAAAAAAAAAAATGGCTGGGCACGGTAGCTCACGCCTGTAATCCCAGCACTTTGGAAGGTCAAGGTGGGTGAATCACGAGTGCAGGAAATCCAGACCATCCTGGCTTGTATGGTGAAACCCCATCTCTATTAAAACATACAAAAAAATTAGCTGGGCATGGTGGCGCACGCCTGTAGTCACAGCTACTCGGGAGGCTGAGGCAGGAGAATTGTTTGAACCTTGGAGGCAGAAGTTGCCTTGAGCCGAGATTGCACCACTGTACTCCAGCCTGGCAACAAATCGAGACCCCTATCTCAAAAAAAAATTTGCTGGGTATAGTGGTGCGTGATTGTAGGCCCAGCTATTTGGAGGCCAAGATGGATGGATTGCTTACGCCCATGAGGCCAAGGCTGCAGTGAACCATGATTGCCCCACAGCACTGCAGCCTGGGAGACAGAGCAACACCCTGTCTCAAATAAAGAAATAAATAAAAACAAAAAGAGGCTGGGCACGGTGGCCTGTAATTCCAGCACTTTGGGAGGCCGAGACAAGCGGATCACTTGAGGTTAGGAGGTCAAGACCAGCCTGGCCAACAGGCTGAAACACTGTCTCTACAAAAATAAAAAAATTAGCCGGGCATGATGGTGGGTAGTCCCAGCTACTCGGAGGCTGAGGCAGGAGAATCGCTTGAACCTGGAGAAGGAGGCATCAGTGAGCCGAGTGCAGAAAGCGAACAGAGGTTCTCAGTCGGTGTGGATCTCGGAAGTGAGCCACGGAGAAACAGCTAAACGGGTTCTGGGATCAGACATCAAAATTTCCCTGAAGGTGTGACGGGCTCCCAGAAATGGACCAACTGAAATGCCGGAAGTGCGCCTCAGACATCCCGGAAGCAGAAACCTGGATCCCCGGAAGGAAACCAACCAGCAGCATTCCTCACCCAGAAACGTGACAGATGCCTTTTCCAGGAGCGCAGGCCAGAGAGGTAGATCTCCTGCAGCACAGGGGCACTGAGTTCCACTTCGGCCCCGTCCGAGGTCAGCGAGGGTCGGAAGCCCACGGCCTGGTGCGCTTCTGCCATTTTACGCTGGAGTCCTGGGGGTCCGGCAGAGACATTCTTCAGGCCCCCGGCCCCTCCTCCCTCAGACCCGGGGGCCTCAGACCCGGGAGTCCAGGCCCCCAGCCCCTCCTCCCCCAGCCCCGGGAGTCCAGGCCCCCAGCCCCTCCGCCCCCAGCCCCTCCTCCCTCAGACCGGGGATCCCTCGCTTTCAGCCGCCTCCTGGCGCGCCGACCCAGGACTACATAACTTAGCGCATCCCTCTCTAAGCACCTGAGGGGTTTTGAGGGTTCTGGTTTGTAGACCCAGAAGTTTTGCAGGACGGACGTCAATTGGGGGCCTCTGTGAACGCGTGGAGAGGCTAGAGGGACAGGTCGCGTTAACTCCTCCTTTACCTGCTCTGCCAGGAACATGGTGCAGGGGCATTGCCCTCCCTCTCCCCGTACAGGACTCTCGCGATTCGGGGGCGGGGGTGGAGGAGGGAAACCGGTGCAGGGTGAGTTGCGGGGTCTTAAAAAAAAACCATTAGTTTTAGACCCATAAGAAACAAACTCCTGTTAGACATTGACGGTGTCCACCCCATTTCCGCTTCTCGTGTCAGGGCGAGGGGGCTGGTGTCTATAAATCCATCCGCTCTGGGGTGGCCCAGCGTCCCCTCCCCCGCCCGGGGTGGAGGGGCTGGGGAAGGAAGCACCCACTGCGCATGCCTTGCAGCCCAGGATGCTGAGGCTGTGAGCGGAGGCGAGCGTCGAGGACAGGTGATGGAGAGGCTTGCACGCGCAACCCTAGACGCAGGCCTCCAGCCGCGGCAGGAGCCCGGGCCCCTGGGGTCCAGCACTTACCACGTTGAATCAGGGGTCCGCCGGTCGGATCCTGGGGGCCAAACCGGAGTTCACCCCCGCCCCCCAATTTTGAGTGCCGGCCCCAAATCTCCCGCTTCCATATGTCCAATCCCGGTGCAAGGAGTCCAGGTCGACAGGCCTTTGGATTCCTGCCCACCCCTAGATCACCGTCACTCAGAAACCCCGATTCCCGTCTCGCGTGTCCCTAGCCGGGTATTCGGGTCCCGGGTTTTATCCCCGCCTCCTTCCAATCCCCGCGTTCTATCCCCGCCCCCTTCGATCACGGCGTCCAATCACCTCTGTCCGTTCGATCCCTAGCCCTCCGTCTCCTTTTACCCGGCCAGATTCTCCACCATTTGACGGCCCGCATTCTATGCAGCTTGTTCGGAATCTGGGTTCCTGGGCTCCCCACTCAGCGCATTGTCTCTTATTCTCCTGTCTCTTGGGGGAACAAGGCTCAGCTGGGAGGTCGCAGCCCACCCCTCGTGCATCCTTAATGTCTAGCGCATAGGGTGCCAGAGCAAATCTCAGCCCTTTCACGCCAGGGAGGGAGGAGGGATGTTTGGAGGTCGGGACGGCCCCCCAAAACCACCCACAGAAAGTGCATGCATTGAGTTGGCAAGAAGGAGGCGCTCCCGGGCGCAGCAACTCACGCCTGTAATCCCATCACTTTGGGAGGCCGAGGCGGGTGGATCACGAGGTCAGGAGTTCAAGACCAGCCTGGCCAACATAGTGAAACCCCGTCTCTACTAAAAACACAAAAACTAGCCGGGCATAGTGGCACGCAGCTGTAGTCCCAGCTACTCAGGAGAATCGCTGGAACCTGGGAGGCGGAGGTTGTGGTGAGCCAAGATCCTCCCACTGCACTCCAGCCTGGGCAACAGAGACTTCACCTCAAAAAAAAAAAAAAAAAAAAGGAAAAATAGAAAAAGGAGGCACTACAGCGGATTGGATTCAAGTTAGACAGTCAGTGGGACTTCCGTGAGGGAGAAGCAGCATAGAAAATAGAGAAGGGTGTATGAGAGACCCAGCCCTGACTGAGAGGCCGAAATAGGTACAGAGAAGCAGGGACTGAAACGCGGAATGCTTGTTTATTCAGCTCTGCTCGACAGTGTTCTTTGTCCAGCCTGGTCCTTCTGCTCCTGGGTCCAACCCAGTCACAGCCTGGGGAGGGGCTGGGGAAGACAGTCTCAGAAGCTGGTGTTAGGGGAGAAGAAAGGTGGGGTAGAAGTGTCAATATACAGACAGGCAAACTGAAGCCGAGGAGGTGACCAGCTGTGCCTGAGGTCACCCAACGAGCTGGGCATTGTGCTGGCCCCCTCGCTGCAGGCTGACGTCCTGGGAGCTGGTCCGGGCTTCTGCCTTGCGTCACCGCCGCCGGCGCCCATAGCTGTAGGGGTCCTGAGGCTCGCGGCTGGACTTTCCCGAGGGCTCCTTGGCGGAGGCAGAGCGAATCCAGTGTATGATCTCCAGCAGGCGGTGAGTCCGGCGTACACCCAGGGACCAGACGTGCTCACGGGGCTGGAGGGCGTCCTGGTGCTGGCCTCGCCTGGATCGGGAGTGTGGGAGAAGACGGGGTTCAAACTGAATCGAGAGATGGGGCGTGGTGGAGGTGGGCACATAGCACTCCAAGACCAGCAGGGCACGCTTACAAATCACCTGCCCGTTCCACAGAGGAGGAAACCATGGCAGGAGGGTGCACGAGCCCTTTATGGTCTCCCTCCTGCCCTGTCTCCCTGCTACTGGCCTTTCTCACCTGGCCGCAGAGTCCGGGTCACCTTGGGCAGAGAAAGTGAGGAGCAACAGCAGGAGGAGGATGTGGGCAGTCATCGTGGGCAAGGCGGGTCAGGATCTGTGGTCTGGAGTTGCAGCCACCCCACCCCGCTCCCCTGCCGGCTGATTGTCTGTGCAGCTCTAGAGCAAGGAAACTGGGCTGGTCCCCACTTCTCAGGCGGGGAATACAGAGGCCAAAAATCTGAGAAGAGCCCATCCCACGCCAGAGGGGCAGGATTTGAACCCAGGTCCCTACCTCCCACACTGCAGCTCTGGGGCCCTCACTGGGTGTGCCGGTCATACCAGAGCTGTCTATGCCCCGGGAGGCCTGTGGAGTCCTGCTGCCTTTAAAGCCTGGGAAATAGGGTGGGGCCTACGACACCTGCAGGTAGCTAAGCAGCTGGCTTCCACGAAAATAGGTGAGGGCGGGGAAGCACCAGCTCCACATGTAGATGCAACCTCACTCTCACCCTGTCAGGAAGCCGTTTAGTAGACAGTAGACCCTGGAACCTCAGGGGACAAGCAATGCAGGGTGAGTGCAGATGCCACTCCCGTGGAGCAGGGGAGACCCCCAGCGCACTAGCAGAGCCAGCGCCCTCTGGAGAGGAAAGGCTGAGGGCTGCAATTGCACTGAAGCAGGTGTAGCCAGGGCTGTCAAGGTGGAAGGGGTCCTGGGTCAACCAGGACATGTGCAGTGCCATGGGAGACCCAGAACCCTGTGGCCAGCCCCCGAGTGGAAGGGTGGGCGCAGACACCATGGCCGCAGCAGAGAGGCCTCGTCTTCGCCTCTGGAGGATGGGCAGGCACTGCCACCTTACAGCTGCGACTCCAACTCCCCAGTCATAAGCCCCAAGCCATTCTAGGGCAGGAAGCAGGGCCACACAGCTACGAGGAATTCTGTCCTCCCCAGCAGACACCTCCAACCCACTCAGTGTCCCTGGCTGCAGAGGGCGGAGCACAGTTAGCCCTAGCTGGCCTTGGAGGGTCCCGAACAGGAACAATGTGAGTGCTGGGGGGAGGTGGGCAGGCTGTTCTGGGAAACTTGAGGGGCAGCTGTGCTGGAAAGCCACCCCCATCCCCCACCAGGCAGGAGGCTCAGGGGCACTGCGGGGCGGGGTGCAGCCCCAGGAGAGGGATGAAAGAGTTGGATGAAGACCCTGAGAGAGCTGTGGAGGGCAGGGACCCCAAGAGGGGACCAAGGAAGGGGAGCAAGAGGCCTAGAGACGAGGGAGGAGAGACGCAGATCCACAGAATGGCAGCCAGCAGCAGGCGCCGAGGCCGATCCCCCACTGCTCAGGCTGGCTGGCACCTCAGCACCTGCAAAGGGAACCCCAACCCGCTTTGCCCCCAGGAAGCAGAGCCAGACCCCAGCTGAGGATTTATTGGAGTAAATGCAACCATATAAAAACATAAGTTATGAAAAACACAGTCACAATGTACCCTCCCCATCCCCCCGGCCCAGGCCCCTAAAACCCTCTTCTTCGGGAGGGAGAGGAAAGGGGAGCCCCAAAACCGCCTAGGAACGCTAAGCCCCTGGGCCCGTGCAGGGCGGGGAGAGCCAGGCCTCAGCGCATCCGGTAGTCGGTGGAGCAGGACAGCTCGCACAGCTGGCCCTTGAAGTCCAAGTCGATGGTGAAGTCCAGGTCTCGCTGTGGGAGAGGGGGGCGTGAGGGCGGAACCGTCAGGAGGTGGTGGCAGGGGCTGCAGACAAGACACATGACGACACGCCCTCCCCGAGACCCAGCCGGGCTCCAGCTTCCTGCCCATCTCCATGCTGCAGACCCCAACTGCTGGTCCCACCCGAGCAGCTGACCTGACCCTGGCAAGCGACAGCTCCACGTGGACACCCTCAAGCCCACTAGGCTCACCCGACACAGAGCCCGGCTGCTGACCCTTGCCTTTGGGTTTCCCCATCAAGACGATTCCCATCAGCAATGGAGTGATATCTTTCATAAAAAAGAGAACCTTTCCCAAGCCCACTTCCTCCTCAGCAAACATTACGGTGAAACGAAGCGGTCCAGCCTGCTGTCTCCCCTCCTCTACTCCCAGCCTTCCTGGAGACCCCCCATACCCTCCAGCACGTGAAGACGACTTGTGGCCGATGGTCCGGAGGCTGCCTCCTGCCTCTCCGGTGTCTTTCCCAGCTAGCACCACGGTCCCTTGGGGGCCGCATGAGTCTTTGTAGGGGGCAGTCGTGTGGATGTAGGACGTTTACCACCCCCTCTGTCCCTACCCACCAGATGCCAGGAGCACCCCTTCTGCCAGGTGACAACCACAAGTGTCTACAGATGGTGACAAACGTTCTCTGTGGGGAACCCACCCAGTTGAGAATTGCTGCTGTCACGGGCTCAGGAGCGTCCAGGGGTCCACACTCTGTGAATGACCTGAGTGCCACCTGGCCTGGCACCCATGGGCCGGGACCCACACTTCTAGCTCAGACCACTCCCTGAGACTCCAGGCTCCAGGTCTTCCGTCCTCCGGCCTGCTCAGACCTGCCACACTGGACCTCTGCCTAGACCCACTCTCCTGGAAGCCCTCGCAGCTCCCCCGCAAGCCCCCTGGTCTTAGGTGATGGCAGCTCCTGCCAGGTGCTCAGGAGGAAAAAGAAAGGGGATGGGAAAACAAACCAAAAAGCTGCCTTTTTCCTCAGGCCTCACACTGGGCGAGGAAACCCAGTGCACTCAACTGGGGACCGCCGCTTGCCCTGAAGCCCACCCACGCCAACACCTGTCTGCCCTGCTCCCAGCCTGAGAGGTCACCTCCGACTGGCGGCTCCATATCACTGATCCCCTTGTCTAGAGTGGAAGCACCAGGAGGGCAAGGGTTTGGCCTGGGTCCCCAGGCCCAGCTTCCAGTAAATGCTCAAGAAATCCTGCTGTGTAGACAGGCATGGGGCTGAGGGGCTCAGGGACCTGGGAACAGGCAGAGGCACCCGCTCCCCCACCCCCATCTGCCCCCAGCTGCCCCCATCCGCCCCAGCTGCCCCCATCCCCCGCCCTCCCCGGCCCTGCCCGGGAGCCTCACATTGTTCTTGGCGTTGGGCCGCATGCCGATGGTGCCAAAGATCTCCTCACCCGTCTTCACGGTCAGGTAGTCCTCCATGTAGAACACCGTCTGCTTCCAGTGCGTGTACGGGGACTCCGGGCCTGCGGGCACGGCCGGGTCAGCCAGCCTCAGCCTGCTGGCCCCACCCCAGCCTTGGCCTCCCGTTCCCTCTGCTGGAATGCCCACCCCCATGACAGCTGACGGGAGTGCAGTTCGTGAGTCACTTCCCTGTCACTGAGGTTTGGAGACAGGGACTGTGTCAGCCTTCTGTGGACGAGGAAACTGACGCCCAAGGCCACGTGACGGCTACATGGCAGAGTCTGTGCTGGAACACGCGTGTCCCCATGGCTCTCTGCCCGTTTCTGTCCCCCCTCCCCTACGTGGGTGCCCCTGGCTCAGGGACGGCCCCAGCCCTGTCCGCCCCGCCTCACTGGTGGAGAAGCCAGTCCTCTTGTGGCAGCGTGTGAACTCGATGTTGAAGTAGGCCACCAGGGCGTGCACGTAGTCATTCCGCTTCACTTGCAGGCAGAACGGGGAAGTGAAGGTCAGGTCTTCCACCTTGACAGTGTAGATGTCCACCTCCTGCAGGACAGGAGACAGCAAGCTCCAGGATGTGTGCCCAGCCCGAGTCATGCCCTCCTCCCTCCCTCAGCTCCCGAGGGCCTGTGACCCTGCTGTCCCCTTCCTGGTGGCCCTCCCTCACCGGCACCCAGCCTTGGCTCCTCACTCATTCCTCATTCTGCCTGTCTGGCTCCCAACAAGCCGCTGGGTTCAAGCCCGGATTCCTTGCCCCCTTCTCTCCCACACCCAAACCTGGCACTCTACCCTACCTCTGTCCAGAGCCCCCTCAGCCCTGACCCCACCATCAGACCTCCTGGAATGCAGGTCCCCAACTCTGCCCTCTCCCCAACCCCTTGACAAGTCCACCAAGGTGGTGACTTCAAATGGCAACCCAAACGCCAACCTCAAACCCTGCGCCAGCTCCCCGGCTCTCAGGAGGGTGGCCCCAGTGGGGTCCCTGCCCCTCCAGTCTCCTCTCCTCCCCCCCTTAACAGCTCCCTCCTCCCCGACAGGAACCCCAGCCAGCCACCCAGCTTCACCCAGCTTGAACATCCCAGCTCAACAAATACTTGCTATTGCCAGGTCTCAGAAGTAAAAAAAGTAAAAAAGAAAACACTGGCCCAGGCTGGAGTGGTGACGCGATCACAGCTCACTGCGGCCCAAGCGATCCTCCCGCCCAGCCTCCCGGGCAGCTGGGACCACAGGCGCATCTCAGAGCCTGCCTGTCCCCCTGGGCTCCTCTGCAGTGGCCCATGTGCCTGTGCACCCGCTCATCGCCCTGGCGTCCTGCCTTCCCATGCACAGGTCTCACTGGGCTTTAGCTGCTGGCTTCGGAGGAGGAGGCAGGACCAGCCCGCCTCACCGCCGGACACCAAGTGCCAAGCCTGGCTCTCCCACAGCAACGCTCACCAAGATATTTAAAGGACAAAGTGGCTTTTCTGGGCCTCTAGCACCCCTCTGGCTGGCAGGTCAGGCTCTGAGACCTCAGGCCAACGCTCTGGGCCCCAAAGCCCCGCGCCAGGGCCAGGTGATGGCCTCTCTTCAGTTTCAACGTAGGCAGCACCTGGCATGCCCACCCCCTCACCTTTATGAGGCAGGCGTTGGTGACCAGCTGTTTTGGGTCCACCACGTCCACTAGGGGCTCCTTGATGGCCACATCTTTGATGCAAGACATGTCGAAGCCATACACATTCTCCCACCCTGGGGAGGCAGGCAGGGAGGGGGGTGAGCCCGCAGCAGCCCACCCATGGCCCCACCCGCCAGCTCCCGGGCACGCACTCACAGTGGATCTTGTAGTCTTTGTACTGCCGGTCCTCGATGGCGGTCACATACAGCGTAGCTCGGTCTGGGAAGATGAGGCCATCGGGCGCCTGCAGAGGGGGCAGGGTGAGGGTGGGGCCTGGCAACACTGCCCCTAGTTTTGCCTCAAGACGTGGCCTCCTGCCCTGGTCTCGGCCACCTTCACGATGCAGCTGCACTCACCCCCACACCCCCTGGTCTATTTCCCACACGGCCGGCCACCAGAGGACTCTCAGGCACATCTCAGTCAGCTCCTGTCCCTCGGAGGCTCTGGGGATCCTCAGACCCTCCCTGGCTGCTCTGAGAGGAAAAGCAAAGCCGCACCATCTCCCTGCCATCGTCTAGCTCCGGGGCCTGTCACACCTGGCTCCGGCTGTGGCCTCTAACACCTGGCAGCCAGCCCCCACAGTAGTCCCATCTGTGGGAAAAATCGAGCATGGTTTTCATCTTCTGCCTGGACCCCAGCCCACACGAGCGGCGCCCGTCCCGCTGGGGGCCTCACCAGCCACTTGTCCCGGGCGTAGAGCACGGTGTTGAGCATGGACTCGTAGAAGAGGCAGTAGCCCATCCACTCGCTGATGATGATGTCCACCTTCTCCACCGGGAGCTCCACCTCCTCCACCTTCCCCTTGATGATGGTCACCACTGCAGGCAGACAAGGGCGGCCACATCAGTCCCCAGGAGGCCTGCCCCTTTCCTCCCCCGGGGGCTAGAGCCTGGGGACCCCACTGGGTTCAGAGAACTTGTGAGCGGAAGCCACAAACCATCTTTTTTTTTTTTTTGAGATGGAGTCTTTCTGCCGCCCAGGCTGTAGTGCAATGGCACCATCTCGGTTCACGGCATCCTTCACTGCCTGAGTTCAAGAGATTCCCCTGCCTCAGCCTCCTGAGTAGCTGGTACTACAGGCGTGCGCCACCACACCCAGCTAATTTTTTTTGTATTTTTCTGTAGAGATGGGATTTTACCATGTTGGCCAGGATGGTCTCAAACTCCTGATCTCCTGATCTGCCTGCCTCAGCCTCCCAAAGTGCTGAGATTACAGGTGTGAGCCACCTCGCCTGGC